TATATATCTAAAAACAAAAACAAATGAATCAATCAAATGTGTAACGTATGTTGGTAGTGAAGGCGGAATTCACGTGTCAAGTTTAAATTCCAGGTGAGTCTGTTCTGTTCATTGTCGCATAAATGCCTTTGGAAAAGGTATATATCTGTTTCTTCTTCCACTCCACCAAAAGTCTGAATTCTAAACAGCGTTGCATGCAAATGGAAACCATTCCACTATATCTTCCAAGAATGCGTGGCAATTCACCGACAATAAAAAAAAAGAATTCTTTAGCGCGACGTAATCTTGAATTGGTATTGGAAAAAAAAGTACATTTAACCCATTACCTGTCATGAGCCACATTTGGGGATCTGTTAAAATTAAACTCACTACATGTTATTCCTTGTATTTACATTGAATTGTTTACATACATTGCATTTGCAGAGGTATATTTTACAACACTTAGCCTTTAAAGTTTTTATTATTAACTGTAAGAAGACACTTTCTGTTGTAATTTTACATTTTTAAAAAAAAGTAGAAAAATAATGACTATTTTGAAAAGTATTTTTTTTATTATTTCTAATCAATATTATTTTTTGATGTTTTATGCACCTATATATTTGATGTTCTAGTTTCTATAAAAATGACAATGGTAACTACTGAAATTAAACATAAGGAATAAATAAACTCCTAAGACACCTGTCTGGGCCAAAAATGCGCATTAAAAAAATTGGCAGTTAATGGATTAAGGATTTGGTATGTTTTAATGAACAACTGCCCCCCTCCAGCAAACATGACTTTGTAAAACATATTTATTACTAGACAATAATCCCTAGCGAATTCCTCACCGTACTGGGTATGACGATAAAGTATATCCGCGTCATGGATAAGACGATAAACTACATTTGGCAGCAGGGCCTTTGATTGGGAGTTTTTGAGAAGCATGGAGCCATCTCTTAATTGTTGGTGTTCCCAGGTCCACTCTGACAGTGTCCCAGTTATGGATGAGTGGTTAACTCCCTAAAAAGGGGTCAAAACACTATAAAAGTATAAAAATAGGTTTTAATACCAGCAATACTCTTTTGAAAAAATTATTACCAGCAATACATTTTCGAAAAAAAAAATATTACCAGCAATAAAAATCTTGTCGACATTAAATAACCCATCGAAGTTGATATGCCGTAAAACAAAACAAACAAAATCAAACTAAACCAAACCAAATTCTTCTTCTACGTTGATGTATCGGTTCATGATGTGAACAATCATGGCTCTCCACATCTTCCTATCCATTGAAGCTGTTTGCAATATTTGTCTTTTTACTTCCCCCTTTCTTTATTATCTAGACAAAATGGAATCTCCATTTAAATAAATAGACAGGTGTTGCCGGCTAAGAGAAAATATATTTGCCAAGTTTTTTTTTTTTTTAATATTGTTCACTTTGTAAATGCAGAAGGCACTATTTATCTTCCTTTGGTGGATCTGAGTAACGTGGGTCGCATGCTCGTCGCTTAGTGACGTCGGTCTATATAGTTATGAAAGCGGCAGTCAAAATTCAGTTTTTGGTTTTCAGCAGCTAAACGGTATGGTTGCTTTCTTTAAGCCCGTTCACCCCATGGCCTGGACAGAGGCTAAATCTGCTTCCCCAGTAGCTTATTAATTCATGGTACCGTTTCTGTTCAGGAACTTATCTTTCCCAGATATGGAATGAAACTCCAGCTCGTAGTACTCAATTTGAAAAAAAGAACCAAACCAAAAAAAAAAAAAAAAAAAAAGACTCGCTGTTTCCCGTTCGTGGAATATGTCCTCGCCTGGTACATAGATGAATTCGGTCCGTTTGAATCTGGAATTCTAAACATGGCTTCTCCAGACACAGGAGTATCTCCATTTTATATGCAAGAACCTTCCCTTTTGTTTCCTTACACTCTGCTTTGCTGTGTAGATATATATGATATATTATTCTCCACATGGGACATTTGTATATATGTATATATGATATTGTGTATGTCTTAGTATTATAAAATTCTCTCTGAGAACAATGTATGTTTGTAATTCCTTTTCCTTTCAGCCATTCTGTTCTGCCCGTGAAGTACAGTGTTGTTATATCATGGATATAATAATGCCCATAATGGGGGAAATACAAATGGGAGAATAAATCTCTCCCCCGTTACAACGTCATTTCAACGCGAAACCCTGAGAAATGAGTTATATTATCACGGGATGCTCAATAATTGTGACCTTGTGCTAAACGAAGCTAAGCTTAGTAAGTTACGACTCATCGAGTGATCTTAGCCGTATCACTTGAATCTGCTGTGCCTGGTCTTTTATAAACATATTGGATCACCTACTATATTTATTTTCCTTTTTGGAGGACATGAGCGAAATGTATCTAGGTAAACAAATCAAGTAAAAAGTTCAAAACTTATCTTTTCTATTCCAAGTTTCACAGATGTTATCTGTTAATCAGAGAATTAGTTAAATTGAATTTATTAACAGATACCATATATTGCTTCAAATTATTAAAACAGTGTGAAGAAAGGGATCATTGGATGCCTACAACACCAGGCAAAAATCGTAAGTGACGACCCGGATACATACCAACAAGAAAGGATCAACATCAAACGCACCCTTCAGAATAACAACTACCCGGCAAATATGACATCAACGTCTACAGATGGGAATAGCATGGACAGTGAGGATGACCGGAAAATTAACGCCTTACGTTAAGGGCTTATCGGAAAAGATTCAAGAGGCCTATAAAATATCAGGACAGTAATCAGAAGCAATTCTATTCTACAGAAAATATCTCTGTCGTGTAAAGCCTAACACAGGGGAGAATATGACCAAGAATTGCGTGTACTCAATCCCTTGCAGTTGTGGCAAAATATATAAAGGTGAAACAAACCGGCTCCTGAAAGTAAGGCTGGAAGAACATCGAAAAGGCGTACTGAGAGATGAGACAATGAAATCGGCCATGGCTGATCATGTATGAAAGGAAAGTGATAGTCATCAGCCCTTGTGGAATGAAATGAAAATAATACTGGACAAGGAAGAACACAGGAGAGTTAGACGTTTGAAAGAATCAGCGATTAAGCTAGGCTATGAGGACCCCCTTAGTAGGCCTAGCATAGAAATAAATACAATATAGAAACCTCAATGACACATGGCCTAGTGGATAAAGACATTGGTTAGATCCAGTGACTAGACCTAAAGAGTTGCTAGTTGACAGCAGTGGTGAAATAACTGAAGCATCCAGAAGAGGCATGGCACGTGAAACTAGAACAATCTACCCCGGTGTACGAAATATAGGGTTCGCTTCGAAATTCCAATTACCGGAAAAACGCCGGAGCGTACAACGGCCGAAACGTTGTGAATATGGCAATGAAGATGAGGACAACAGTCCGAATAATTTAAATAATGCAAGTAATCATAATACCTCATCTCAGAGATATAGACAGAGATATAGAGAGACATAGACATAAAGGCCGGAGCGTACAACGGCCGAAACGTTGTGAATATGGCAATGAAGATGAGGACAACAGTCCGAATAATGTAAATAATGCAAGTAATCATAATACCTCATCTCAGAGATATAGACAGAGATATAGAGAGACATAGACATAAAGGCCGGAGCGTACAACGACCGAAACGTTGTGAATATGACAATGAAGATGAGGACAACAGTCCGAATAATGTAAATAATGCAAGTAATAATAATACCTCATCTCAGAGATATAGACAGAGATATAGAGACATAGACATAAAGGCCGGAGCGTACAACGGCCGAAACGTTGTGAATATGGCAATGAAGATGAGGATAACAGTCCGAATAATGTAAATAATACAAGTAATCATAATACCTCATCTCAGAGATATAGACAGAGATATAGAGAGACATAGACATAAAGGCCGGAGCGTACAACGGCCGAAACGTTGTGAATACGGCAATGAAGATAAGGATAACAGTCCTAACAATGTAAATAATGCAAGTTTTTTACTTAAACCTGTAATAAAAAAAAATTCATCTTTTCGCTTCCGTTTCGAATTTTAAAAAAACTCAACGACATTATCACCAAAGAAACAAATAAACTTATTGAAGAATCGCCCTCGAAGCAAACGAGTGTCTATAGGTGAACGAATGGGATCGAAGAGAAATAAAGGATTAACAAAACTAACTCTTCTTTTTTTTTTCCACCTCGATTGGGTTCAAAGGAATCGTCTTACCTGAAACTGGTCGACCAGAAATTTCAAATTTCATATCATTTTCCACGGCGTAAAGTCGAGCAGAAAAATCAATTTTGCTTTGGCCAGTGACAGTTATAAACCATGTTTTATCATGTGCGCTTGTTTCTGTTCGAACAAGCTTCCATGTTCCAGCTACTGGTTTCTGAAAAGAAAGAAAAAAAAACATTAGTAACACTTGTGATATCTGCGGGGTACAAATGTTTATCGAGAGATCCATAGACATTTATTAACGATATTGGAACTCTAAAAACAAGAATTTCGTCCAACGATAAAGATGCGTAAATGTATTAGAAGAGGAATCTTGTCAAATGTTAACCATTCAAATTGAAAGCCCTTTCTACTTTAAAAACCGGAAAACCCACAGGAATCGAACGCACGTCCCCCTTTTTAGGGGAAACCATTGTTTGATCCAGTGTGTTGTACCATTTTTCTTTATTAAGAAATCTCGAATGCGCAAGTGGATAGACGTAACACACACTATTTAATAAATAAAAAATAGAACGTCTATTTAAAATACGAAGTATCACCTATGATAGCGTTTAAAGTAATAAAAGTGTCGGATTAAAAATAAATCCATTATATATATATATTTTAAGGCATTTTTATGTTTATATATTCTTTTTATAAATATTTAAGTAAATGCTCTGTTGATAATAAACAGTATTAAATAACATTTACCGGCCTGAATGTCCGAGAAATTTTCATAGAAAATATTCGTCCTCCGACAGGAATCGAACTTGTATCCTATACGGAACCGTCTGATGTGCCTTAACCGATTGAGCCACAGGGGGAACGTTCGATTAGCAAGGTCGATTTTACTGCTTTTAAACCATGAATCTCTCACGTACATTCATATCTGCTCAAATATATAACGGTTTCGTATAGGATACAGGTTCGATTCCTGTTGGAGGACGAATATTTTCTATGAAAATTTCTCGGACATTCAGGCCGATAAATGTTATTAATACAGTTTATTATAAACAGAGCATTTACTTAAATATTTGTATCTATAAAAAGAATGTATAAACATAAAAATGTCTTAAAATAATTGTCGGGCTTTTGTCTATTTATATATATATATATATATATATATATATATATATATATATATATATATATATATATATATATGCAATTTTATATATATATGTTTGAGTGTGAGTGTGTGTGTGAAGATTACTGTAAAAAAATCCAAGGAAGAATCTGCAATATTATTAGTCTTGACCTGGCATCTCGATTTCAGTCATTTTTCCTCCACCGCAACGTAACTTATCTGTACCTTTTCTATAAATATTTTCACGGGAATTGTTCTTTGGTACTTCGACTTGACGATATAAGCGCAGTACTAGATTGGCAGTTTTGTCAATTAATTTCACGGTTGAGATTGCTAGTTGGAACCGTAAGTCCTATGGTATTCCTTCCTTCTCTCGTATTTATCCCTTATGGAACTCTCTTCCGGCTTCTTGCGTTCAAACATTTAAGTGCCGCCTCAGTCGTTATCTTCTGATTCTCTGAATCTTAGTGTGTTTTTATCGCCTTGAATTAAAATGACAAAAAACAATGATTTTGCAGCGAATGTTGGACGGTCTCCTCAAAGATGAATAAGAGGCTCGATGCAACGGTGGTATGGTTCTACAGAAGGATGCTAAGGATATCATGGACCGAGCGTGTGAGCAACGATGAGGTTTTGGAGAGGATGCAAACAAGGAGGAAGCTTATACTTAACATCAGGAAGAGGCAGATGAAATTTCTGGGACACATAATGAGAAAAGAAGAGACTCGAGGCAATTGAGGTATGGTTCTACAGAAGGATGCTAAGGTTATCATGGACCGAGCGTGTGAGCAACGATGAGGTTTTGGAGAGGATGCAAACAAGGAGGAAGCTTATACTTAACATCAGGAAGAGGCAGATGAAATTTCTGGGATGCGTAATGAGAAAGGAGGGCCTGGAGAATATGATACTCACAGGGCGAATAGAGGGAAAGAGAGTCAATGGAAAGCAACGCGTAACATACTTGGCGGGATTAAGCAAGTGGATGACAGAACGTGGTCTGGGGGAGGTGGCAGAGGGACGATACTTATTGAGAGCTACAAGGGATAGGGAGAAAGTGGAGAGCCATGATCGCCTTATGTTCTAAAGGAACACGGCACATAAAAAGTAAAAAACAATTTTAGCAGAAATTTTATTGTGAATGAAATCACCTCTGAAACAAACTCTGCTATTTGATCACAAAACCATTTTAGCTCAGCGGGAGTAGAAAGGTTCACCTAGTATCTGATTCACACTCCCCCCCCTAATCTTTTGAGCAGGAGTAAAGGTTTATCCTTTGTTTCTTTTTTAGGATTGGGTTTCTGGTTTTTACTAAAGTCATTCTCATTCACTCTCAGTAGTCCCTTGCGTCTAAGTAGCGTTATTGCCTTGCTGTGAGTGAATATATTAATAAAAATATTCTCTGTAATAAACATTTAGTTAATTGTACACTTCAATGTGTGCTTTCGTTCGCTTACAGTTGTTAAGGTAACACAAAATTACGTCAAACACATCTGTTTTCATTTATTACATATTTGTGGGCAATGCAATCAGCTCTGGCGCCATTTTGTTTGCTTTGAAACGTTTGTTTATTTTTTTCTCTATTTTTCCTTTGTCCTTGACTTAAAGAAAATACTGCATGTGAACTCATTGGCTTACCTTATTATATGCTTTTAATCATTATTGTTAGAAACTATTTTTACTGCACATAACTCAGGATATCGTCTAATTCTTATTGTATTTAGTACTCTTCAGTTATTGCTAGCCCATTTTCACTCCGTGTAAGTACACGCTGCTCATTTCAGGGATTGAACTCACAACAAATATGTCACTAAATTCACAAACAAATGCGTTTATCCACTAGGCCATTGTTCCGTAATACCCCTAGACGTGAGCAGTAGAACGAGAACAGTCTATCCTCGCAAATTAAATAAAGGGATCTGTTTAGAATTCCCTGTAGGTTACCCAGATCAATATACATCTGAAGAAGGCCGGAAGACCAAATAGCCGAAACGTTGTGATAGCAACAACGAAGATGTGGACAATAGTCAGAATATAAATACTGTAAATAACTATTTCCGTTTCGTGTTCTGGGTATGACGATAAACTACGTCCAACAGCATGGCCTCTGATCAGGAGGTTTTGAGGAGCGTGGAACCACCTCTTAATTGCTGGTGTTCCCAGGTCCACCCTGACCCGGGGTTGTAGCACCTGTTAGGGCCCCAACTATGGGCAACTAGTTAACCTTCGAACTGGATCAAAGCACTATGAAAGTATAAAAATGTTTAAATACCAGAAATACATTTTTGTAAAAAAATATTACCAGCAATGAATTTTTGAAGAAAATAAATATTACCAGCAATACATTATTACGAGCAATACATTTTTGAAAAAAATATTACCAGCAATAAAAATCTTGTCGGTATTAAATAACCCATTCAGGTTGATACGCCGTAAAACAAACTAGATCAAACTATTTGCGCTTCTTTGTCGTTGTGTCAATAAAGTTCCTATGCAAATTTATTCTTGGCATCAATAGCTAGCAAGAAAATTGATAAAGTTTCATAAAACGCTTAATATCTTGATTAATATCTGATATCGATCACAACCACTTCAGCTTGTAAGAATCTGTAGTGAACGAGATAATCAAGTACCCCGGAAAAAAGTTCGTGTTTTGTGTGCGATCTGCCGGGGAGGGATTGCCAAAAAGTAGTCAGCAAAACTCTTATAGCGACTTACCTCATCAACAGCGCGTCGAGTGTATTCTGGGACGAAAAAGAAACAAGTCCGTCGCAGGAGTCGCTATAAGAGGATATTAATATGCAAATTACGGAGCATCCTATCCCGGCTGTCGACGAATGGAAAAAATAGGTTCTGCCGATAAAAGCAGTTGGTGTTGTCGACTCGGTGAAGGAAAAAATTCGGGCAGTTTTGGCTGCGGCGTTCGTGAGTTATTTTCCTGACGTGTTACAAGTGATTTTCTTTCGTTGTGTTGTGAAAGCCACAAATTTGCTTTGAGAACGCTTACACTTCAGAATCATAATAATGTTATTCCAATAATAATTTTGAAATATTCAGACCCACCGTCTGTCACCAATGACTATACTACGTTCAAATTAGCTTTCTTTCCCATATCAATGCATGAAATGAAATGTAGCAGGTCGTCATTACCAGGTTTAAATTCTGAAACCCATTAAATTTCTGTCTCAGAATTGGAATTTTGCATAAAAACATTTGTTCATCTGTACTTAAATGACCAGCGAGTGTTTAACGTTTGCTTAATGCAAATATTATTTTATTGTAATCCAAGGGAAGGTCTATCTAATAGTTTTATTATATTTTCCATTTTGTGTGTAAGTTGTCTCAAAGAGAGATCAAATTTATGAAGGAATTATTCTGAGTTTATCTTCCTTATAACTGAAGATTAAAAAAGAACGTTAATATCACTGTAGATTACCAAGAACGTTAATATGACTGAAGATTACCAAGTACGTTAACGTCACTGAAGATTACCAAGAACATTATTTCCGAGAATGTTAATATGACAAAAGATTTCCAAGAACGTTAATAGCACCAAATATTTCAGGGAATGCTAATATCACTGAAGATTATCGAGGACGTTAATATCACTGAAGATTACGAAGAACATTAATATCACTAAAGATTGCCAAGGACTGAAGATTTCTGAGAACCTTAATATCACTAAAGAATTCCGAGAACCTTAATACCACTGAAGATTACCAAGAACTTTGATATCACTAAAGATTACCAAAGATAGTTAATTGCACTTAAGATTTCCGAGAACGTTAATATCACTGAAGATTATCGAGACCGTTAATATTAGACAGATTAAGGAAAGTTTTGATTAATTTATTCCTGTTAGAAACGTTATAATTTAAAATTCCCGCGTATCGAATGCAAGTCTTGTGTAGATGTCTTTTTAACTTTATATAAAATGTATATATATATATATATATATATATATATATATATATATATATATATATATATATATATATATATAAATAAAAAGAAAGAACAGTAAGATATAAAATCCGGTGTTCTTATAGATATTTTATTTTTACAAAATAGTGCTCAATGTAAATTTTACA